GTCTTTCCTATGTTTTCTTTCAGACTTACTGAAATTTTGCCTTTTAAACATAGGCCTTTGTCTGCTTGAACTTAGTGGGTATGGCATGAGGGGTCCATTCTTTTCCTCCATGTGGCCAAGTGCATGTTGTTATGTACCATCAAATCAGAACAGACTCATAGTTGACCCTCCAGCGGGTTTTGGAGATGGTAAATCTCACGGGATTGCCCACCTTTCTCCTGTAAAGTGGCTGGTAGGCTTAACTACATGTCTTTAGGTTGGCAGTGCGACTCATCACCACCAAGCTGCCTGAAAGTTTGCAGACTTGGAATCGGAACTGCTCAACAGAGCTCAAGCTGTGAGGCCAGTGGCTGCAAAACTTAAATTTGCAGAGTTAATAAATGGCAGTGAGTCACCTTGGGTGTGTGTATGTTTTATGAGTGCCTGGGCGTCCTTGGGGCTGGGCTTTTTGTTCTCATTTAGGACATTCTTGTAATGAGGATAAAACCACAGCAGCCAACTCCATGTGCTTGTTCCTGTCACGCTTGAGTCATCCCAGGTCTTCTTTCAGCAAGAATTCCCATTAAATCCCAAGCAGTGACATAGTGGACATTTACTGCTTAGACTTGAGCAAAGTATGATATGTTTTTTCTAAAGGGTTTGGGGAACATTTGATGCTCCCATATTTCAACAGTTGCTTGGGGTGAGTGTCCCCTGGTTTGTCTACAAAAATTTTCTGAGTGTATAGTATGCCAGGAAGAGGGTCTAATACTATTTCTTTTATAACATTTTTATAAATGTTCCATTTCTATATTAGATTAATTATCTTTCATTTTCATTACCAAGATAATATAAAAACTTACTTTTTAAAGATTTTCTGTGTACAACTTAATTCTAAGATTTGTGGAAGTTAATGTTATGAAATAAAGCTTCACTGTCTAAACCAATAAATATGCAAGTTCTTCCTCCCCTCCTTTCCTCCCTCAGTCTCAGAGCATCTGTCCACACTGTGCCTTGTTACTCAGGGAACTATCAAGGCCAAGATGCTGGCTTGTGATGGCATTTAGCAACAATAATTGTTGGGCCACGAGTGGTAACATTTGACCCTTTGAGAAACTGACACTGTTTTCCAAGGTAGCTGAGCTGTTTCACATTGCCACCAGTGGTGGGTGAGGATTCCGATTGTAGACACCAGTATTCAGAGGAGGAAACCAAGTTCAGAGAGATTTTATTCTTGCCTAGTGGCATGCGACTGAATAAATGGGATGTTCAATAATGTTTCCAGTTTTCTGCTTCTGCCAACATGATTGTAGATGGACAGCCCTGTCTCTCATTCAATATTCATTTCTATAATATTTTCTCTGGAGTCATGTATTTGAAGGGTGATGCTTAAAGGCCAGCTTGATGTTAATTTGGAATAATATGCTATTCCTTTTGCTAAAATGGTTAGAGGACGGCTATTAGTTACTTATGGTCTCCATTACAGCTCCAAGGTGTTTCATTAGTTTGTTCTTTCTGGAAAGGAAATATATATCTATATATCTATATATATATCTGTGTGTTTATATGTATACACACACACACGCGCGCGCACACACACACATACACACACACATACATATAAAATAACTGTGTTTTAGTTGTTACCAGTTGTTGATAGAAAAGAGATACCCCAGCTAGATGGCTTTAACAGAATCAGAACCAACTTATAGCTGATCATCCATTGGGTGTTTGAGGCTGTAAACTGCACAGAAATTGTTGCATTTTCTCCCAAAGAGCAGTTAGAATTCACTGTCAAGGAAACGTGGCCTTTGTGTTAACACCACAACTCCTTGTGGACTGCACCACCAGACCTCCCTTTGTTGGTGTTGCATGAGCAACCTCATTGCTGACTCACTGGCAAGTTTTCTAACACTGAAAATCACATGGGAGGAGATTGCTCCTCTTCCTCTCATGGAGGAGCTGATGGATTCGAAACACTCACCTTAGGGTTGGCAGCACAGCTTCTTACCACTAAGTCACCAGAGTTCCCGCTAGGAGGCTGGAGTCCAAATTCACCATTCCACTTCTAGGGGAAGGACTTTCTCTGTTGCTCATTCTCTGGAGAACTCCATGTGCTGTAAGTGTTGCCTGGTACCAAGGTGTTTAATTGTGTAAGGACCTGGATCCAAAAGAGGTGTTCTTCCCTCCTGGAGTTTATTTCTTGGTGGCACTGAGCTTTCCTCCTACCTTATCTCCATTTCAATCTCCATTTTCATATCTAGTAAGATAAAAGCTATAATAGTCCACACCCAGGAGAACTCCCCTTATAAACAATTAGGACTATAATGGCATTTGAGAGTGTTACATTTCATCTTAATCTTCCTGTGAAGTTTAACAGATCATTTGGGATAATGATATAGTTTTCACATTATGTATATGTGCTCTGAGGGAATACTATTTAATCCTAGGGAGCTCCCCTGGCCAGATGATAAGAAGTTGTTCTGCAAACCCAAAGTCAGGTGGTTTGAATTGTCCAGATGTTCTGATGGAGAAAGATGGACAAACCCTTCCCAAGTGATTTACTGCTTCTGAAAACCCACTGGACTGTGAGCTATGAGTCAGTTCTCAATCAATGGCACATAACAGCCACTACCATTCAGTAGATGGCAGTGAGGATGAATGCCTGCCTTGTTACTGCTTAATTTTTTGCTTTTTCTCTTACTTGGGGGCTTGAGTGCCAGACTTCTCATATTATTTCCTTCTAAAGCCATTGCCTTGATGAGCTCATACTGACATTTGTATTTGCCTTATTAGTCGTCTGTGAATGTCACAGGCAGCCTTGGAAACAAAGGGATTACCAGGCATTTATGCCCTTGGTATACTGTGTCATGCAAGAATATTTTTTACTGTGATCATATATGTATGGTATTGCCCCTCTTCTCTATGCTCAATGAGATACAAAATCAACTTAAGTCATTCTTGAAGTAAATACTTTCTCCAGATTCTTGAGGAATGGTTTGTGAGCTTTCTGGGATGGATCAGACAGTGAATACTGAGGTTTTTATGCTGTATGATCCTTGCTATAATTATACAACTTTACTAATATAAAGAACAAAACCAGCCACAGATGATAGATACATCAGTGAATAATTGTGACAGCAAACCTTTGTTTACAAAAGCATGCAGTGGGTTCCATATGGCCTAGATGCCAACAAAGACAACCCCTGTTCTTGTTGTTTACACTTCATCTATCTAATGAGTAGGGAGTTGCGCTGCCAGCCAAAGGCTGGTGGTTCGAATCCACTAGGTGCTCCTCAGGAGAAAGATGAGCACTTTCCTCCTGTGCAATGGATAGCTTCTGAAAACCCCTGAAAGGTCAGTTATGAGTCAGTTCTGACTCAACAGCACATAACAACAACATAACTATCAAACTAAGGTGATTTATTGACAACTATCTGTTTGAAAGCCTTTTCCTATCATCAGGGATTATAAAGGGTTTTCTCTTTAAAAGTAAAGCATGACACTTAACACCGCTGATGTACAGTGGTGCACATTCCACAATCATTAGGAATTAGAAAGCAGGAACATATTACTAAACAAACCAGCTGCCATCTAGTCTCTGCATGGTGCCCTGAACGTGTCAGGGGAGAACTGGGCTCTGTAGAGATTCAGTCACTGGTTGCTCAGAAGATCACACAGCCTTTCTTCTGATATGTATCTGGGTGGCCTCCAACTGCTAACCTTTGGGTTAGTAGCCAAGTGAATTGACCATTTACACCTCGCAGGGACTTCTAGGCATATTCCTAATTCACCAATCGGTCTCTTCATTTCTAGGATTAAAATTGCTGCAGAATACAGCCCTACTTGATTCAAGTACATATCCCTAACCTCTGTGTGTGCTGTAAATCTCTTTAAAACTGCTGAAGATATTCCAGTCCATAAACATTTCAGTCAGCTTCTTATTTTATTATAACCATCTGAACTGGATTTACTGATTTCTTTGATGATAAACTTTACGTAATTGTTTTTTCTTGAAGTAAAAAGTCTATTAAGAGTCCTAGCCAGCATTTTAGAATTTTAAATGTTTTTATGTTTAAATATCTTTTAAATGTTTGTTGTATTCATCAAGTTTTTTAGCGATAATTTTATCTGTGAAAGATTCTTATCCAAGAGAAATTGTAGGAAGCTGTTGACCTACAGCTGCTTTTACTTATTTCAGTCAACATTTTTCTGATATAAAGGTAATACAAAACAAACTTGGCAAGTTTAGGAAATTAAGAAACTTGAAAATAAAAACCCTCAAACTCAAGTCAGAACTGACTCATAGCTGACCCTCTAGCAGGTTTTTGGAAACTATAAATCACGTGGGAGGAGACATGGATCCAATGATGGATTTGAACTGCCAGAGAAACACTGCCTTGGAGTTAGTGCCATGACTCTCTACAGTGTAGGCCACCAGAACTTGCCTAGAAAGCTTTGTTGTTGTTGTTGTTGTTAAGTGCTGTGGAGTCACCTGCAACTCATCAGGGCTCTTAACGCACAGCAGGTCTGAACCTTGCCCAGTCCTGCACCGTCCTCATGATCTCATGCTCAAGTCCATTGTGGTAGTCACTGCATCAGTTCTTCTCATTGGAGTTCTTCCTCTCTTCCCCCACCTTCTACCTTTTCTACCAGGATGACTGTCTCCTGGCATTGGTTCTACCTGAAAATATCCCAAAACTAAGTGAAGCATAGTTTTCACCTCATCTTTTGGCACTATATCCAACAATATTCTCCTAAGATGAAGAACCTGCTAAGTGACTTGAAGATGATACATCTGGAAAGTAGTAGAGCTGGGCTTGGACCCCAAGTAGTGTGACAACAGAGATTATCCTTTTAATCACTGCACCATGGTACCTCTTAGGGGAAGGCTTGTCTGGCTAGCAATGAATCTGGACAACAGTGGTCAGATTGTGCCAAGCCCTAACTAGGATGCCATTGATAGTTTCCATTTTCATTTTTAAAAATGTAATTCCTTTTGTTTGTTTATTTATTTTCAGTTTGTATCAAGGTCAGAAGAAATTCAAAGAAGCTTTGCCTCATTACCAAGAGGCTTTGGAATGTATTGAGAGCAACAAAGGCAAAAAAAGTCTAGAGTGTGTTCCAGTACTGAGGGAACTGGCAGGAGTAGAACAAGCCTTGGGAATCCATGACTCATGTATCAGCCATTTATTACAGGTAAGCTGCAGTGTACTGGACTCAAAAGCTGTTCCAACCCTGATGCTTTTCATAGACACAGGTGTACCAGCCACTCTGAAAATGCCTGGCTTCTAAATCTGAGCAATCAAATTAAGACAGACTAGAGAGAAGGATTGGCCATCCACTTCCAAAATAGCAGGTTTTTGAAAACCCTATGGATAACAGAGCATACTTAGACAGCAGATATGGCAACTGAGACTGAGCCCTCAAGTATGGAAACAAATATGCGGAGGAACAACTCTAAGCAAACACTAGTAATTGGAACATGGACTGTAAGAACTAGGAATGTGGGAAAATTGGATATTGTTAAGAAAGAAATGGAATGCATAAAAATTTACATACTAGGTATTGGCAAGATGAGATGAACTGGCATGGGACAGTTTGAGTCAGGATCATATGATTTACTATGGTGAGACGAAAAGGTGAGGAAAATTGGGGTTGCTTTCTGAGTTAAAAAAGTCATTTCTAGATCCATCTTGAAATAGTGTTGTGAGTGACAGGATAATATCCATACACATACAAGGAAGTCCAGTGAATACCACCATCATTCAAATATATGTACCAACACGAGAGCCAAAGAAGAGGAAATAGAAGATTTCTACCAACTTTTACAGTCAGAGATTGATCAAACATGTAATCAAAATGCATTATTAATAATGGGTGACTGAAATGCTAAAGTTGGGAATAGAGAAGAAGAATCAGCAGTTGGAAAACATGGACTTGGTAACAGAAGTGAAGCCAGAGAGAGAATGATAGAATTTTGCACAATCAACGACTTATTCATTGCAAATACATTTTATAAGAAACATAAATGTAGGCTGTACACATGGATTTCACCTGATGGTGTGCATAGGAATCAGATCGATTACATCTGTGGAAAGAACTGCTGGAGAAGCTCAATATCAGCTGTGAAAACTAGGCCAGGTGCTGATTGTGGAACAGACCACCAACTACTCATACGCAAGTTCAAGCTGAAGCTGAGGAAAATTAAATCAAGTCTACAACAACTAAAATGTAACCTTGAGTCTATCCCATTTGAATTTCAAAACCATCTCAGGAACAGGTCTGAGACCTTGGACATTGATGAGCGAAGACTAGATGAGCTGTGGGAGGATATTGAGACTATCTAGGAAGAATGCAAAAGGTCATTACAAAGACAGAAGAGGAAGAAAAGACCAAGATGGATGTCAGAAGATACTCTAAATATTGCACTGGAGCACCAAGAAGCCAAAGCAAAGGGAAGAGATCAAGATATTAAGCAGCTGAACAAAAGATTTCAAAGGACAATGTGGGAAGACAAAGTATTACAATAAAATGTGCAAGGAGCTGGAGTCAGAAAATCAAAAGGGCCTAACTTGCTCAGCATTTCTTAAGCTAAAGGAACTGAAGAACAAATTCAAACCTCAAGTTGCAATACTTAAGGATGCTTTGGGCAGAATATTAAATGACCCAGGAAGCATTAAAAAAGGATGGAACTAGTATACAGAGTCAGTGTACCAAAAGGAATTGGTGAACACAGAAGAATTTCATGAAGAAATGTATGAGCAAGATGCTGTGGTGATGAAGGAAGAAGTTCATGGTGCTCTGAAAGAATTGGCAAAAAACAAGCCTCCAGGAAATGATAGCGTACCAATCGACATACTTCAACAAACAGATGTTGCCCTGAATGTGTTCAACAAGTTGTGTCAAGAAATCTAGAGGACAACCACCTGGCCAACTGACTGGAAGAGATCAATATTTTTTCCCATTCCAAAGAAAGGTGATTTGACAGAGTGTGGAAATTATCGAACAGTATCATTGATATCACATGCAAGTAAGATTTTGCTGAAGATTATCCAAAAATTACTGGAACAGTACATCAAAAGAGAGCTGCCTGAAGTGCAGGCTGGATTTAGAAGAGGTTGTGCACTGGGGATATTATAGCTAATTTCAGATGAATCTTGGCTGAAAGCAGAGAGTACCAGAGGAATGTCTATCTGTGTTTCATTGACTATGCAAAGGCATTTGACTGTGTGGATCACAACAAACTGTGGCTGACTCTGAGAAAAATGGGAATCCCAGAACACATGATTGTGCTTATGTGAAACCTATTCTTGGATCAAGAGACAGTCATCAGAATATAGCAAGAAAACACTGCATTGTTCAAAATTGGGAAGGGTGCGCATCAAAGATGTCTCCTATCTCCATATCTTTTCAATCTATATTTGAAACAGATAATCCTAGAGGCTGGGCTCTATGAGGAGAAGTGTGGCATCAGGATTGGAGGTAGGCTCATCAACAATCTGCATTATGCAGATGACACAACCCTGATTGCTGAAAGTGAGGAAGACCTGAAGCATTTGCTACAGAAGGTCAAGGACTGCAGCCTTAAATATGGATTGAAGCCCAACATCAAGAAAACAAAGATTCTCACCACTGGGCTGATTGGCAGCATCGTGATAGATGGCGAAGAGATTGATATTGCTGACAGCTTCCTTTTGCTTGGCTCTATACTAAACACTCTTGGTACCAGCAGCCAGGAAATTAAAAGACGAATTGTATTGGCAAAGTAAGTTGATGAAATGGATCGATTCAGTTACTGGGGTAATTGGGATAGGTGCGTCAGAGACAATAAGATTGGCAAGGGATAGAACAGGGTTTAGGGCTGTTATACATAGGGTCCCTGTGAGCTGCAGGTGAGTCGATGGCACATAACAACAACAACAACAAGAATAAGTAACTCACTTGGCCTTAAATGCTTAATAAACTCTTATTATTGGATGAATTAATGAATAGTGAAAACTGGACCCTTGCTACCAGGTGCATATTTAATGAACAGTCTAAGACTTTCTAAAGCATGTTTTCCTCATACTGCATATGTACTTATTTTTTTGTGCATAAAGAGCCCTGGTCATGTAATATCTAATGTGTCAGGCTGCTAACTAAAAGATTACCAATTCAAAGCTACCAGCTGATTTATAGGAGAAGCACGGAAAGTCCCCTCCCATAAAAATGTACAGCCTTGGGTGCATGAAGAGTCTGGCACTGCTGGTCACCTGACAGTCACCCTTACATTCAACCTTGGACCATAGCACTTCAGTGCTGCTTCGCATGTGCGCAGGAAAATGATGTCCTCCCCGCTCTCCAAGGAGCTGCAGCATAAGTACAACATGCACCCATACCCATCCTCAAGGACTACAAGGTCCAGGTGATCTGAGGAGAGTACAAAGGTCAGCACGTTGACAAGGTGGTCCAGGTGGACAGAAAGAAGTATGTATCCAAATGGGAAGAGTGTAGCATGAGAAGGCTAATGAATCAAGTGTCCATGTGGGCATTCACCCAAGCAAGGTGGTTCTCACCAGGCTGAATTTGGACAAAGATTTGGGGAAAAAATTATTGAATGTAAAGCCAAATCTCAGTAAGTTGGAAGTTGTTGTTGTTGTTGTTATGTGCCGTCGAGTCATTTGCGACTCATAGCGACCCTATGCACAACAGCCCTAAACCCTGTTCTATCCTGCGCCAACCGCAC